CAAAGAAGGACTCTAGCTGTTGTGTTGAGACTAAACTGAGGCAGGAGTGATGAGAGCAAGAAGGGAGACCACCACAATAATCTACATGTGACAGAACAGGTGATTGAACCTGGATAGAAGCCGTGAAGGAGAAGAAATGTCAGCACAGTCTGGATATATTTTGTCAACAGTATAATCAGAAACTCCTCAAGGATGAGTTGTGGTGAGTGAGAGAGAGACGAGTCTAGGATGACCCCATAGCTTTGGGGCTGAGCAACAGTAAGGGCAGAGTTGCTATCCACTGAGACAGGGGAGTTTTCAGATGAAATAAATATGGAGAGGCAGAATGGGGTTCAGATGTGAACATGCAGAATCTGAGATGTCTACTAGACATCCCAGTGTAGATGGATATCCGAGTCTACTGTCCAGGTCTGAACTGGGGATATATCCATGGGAAATTTACCCACATATGGATGGCATTTAAATCGAGTATCTCCAATTATACCAGTTCCTTTCCCCTGGCACACACCTACCTTGCTGAGTTAAAACTGTCTCTTTGCTTTTGCTCACACATACCTGCTGTCTATAAGGCCTTCCTCCCTTCTCCTAACCTATCCACATGCTTCTAAGTCCATCTAAGTCCCATCCCTTCCCATGAAACATTCATCAATAATCCAAAGTATTGTCTTCCCCCTCTTGTACCCTTTCACAGGTGAATGTCTTATTTCTCTGGCTAAAATAGGACCTCTTTGAGGACATCTGTTATACATTCTAAACTGATTTTGCATCCCCTGTGGCATACAGCCCCATGCTTTACACTAAGTCGGTGCCAACTGGTACATAAAACTGATTGTTTTATGACAGAACTTCAGAAGTTTTGATCTGGTTATTTGCCATCTCATGAACTTTATTTCTCCATTAATCACCATGTGATTATTTGCTAAACTTATTTAGACTAGGTATATTTCCCTTGGGCTTTTTGGCATACGCATAAAGCGTGAATTGCTAATTCAGATTAAAAGCGTCTATTAAAGAGCCCTTCAAATAAATATAAAGCCAAGATTGTCTGCGAACACACAAAAGATCCACCCTAGACCCATTCAACTCCCACGCCCTCCTCCTTCTCGGAGCTAAGTCCACACTCACCATAAATCAGTCAGATAGTCCCCTTCTTATTGAGCCAGTATTGCCTAAGTTAAAGTCTCACCTCCCTCCCAACCCACACACACAGGAACCTTATAAAGGCCTTACTCGTATGTATATCCATGGTTCTCAAACCTCAGAGAGCATCCAAATCACCTGGAGGATGAGGCCTTACCCCGAGGGCTTCCAATTTAGTACAATTGGCCTAGGGCCTGGGAATTTGCATCTCTAACAAATTCCTAGCCAATGGCAAGGCTGCTAGTCCAGGGACCACACTTTGATATCACTGGAGTATATTCTCACTTGGACTTGTATGTCTGGCTTGACCTCTGCCTGGTTCTGACCTTTAGTAATTGAGTTACTCTTCTGCTCTAGCCTGCTTGATGTGTGCTAGGGCTGTCCTAGTCATTGGCCTACCCAGATTCTGCCCTTCTTTATTTCTGTCTCAGAGGTTGAGGACCAGTTTAAGCTCTTGACCCAAATTTCTTCCTTCCTCTTCAACACCTCCCTCCATTATTCTCTCCCTCTTTCCTAAATCTTTAGGCCTTCCCTCTGTCCTGTTTAAATGTCTCCATCTCTCTCCCACCCATAAATAGATATAAAAACATAAGCAAACCTCTTCTCAATACTGTAATCCTCTCCATTTATCATCCAGTTTCTTGTTTCCCTTTCTCATTTAAACTTCAAGAAGAAATAATTTCCCCTCCCTGTCCCTGTCTCCTCCTTTGACATATATGGCCACCCCACACTTCCAAATTGCTCTTGCTAAGGCCAAAACCAACCACTAACTTGAAAATAATAGATGTTTGCTGTCCTAACATTCATGGACTATTCTGCTGCATCTGATACTTTTTCTTTCTTTCTTGAAATCTCTTTCCCTGAATTCCATGATGCCTTACCCCTGGGTTTTCGCCAACCAGTCTTCCCATGTCTTCTTCATAGGGCTCTCCTCTCCTCCTCTGACAACTGTTTAAATGTTCCTCAGGCTTCCATCTTTAAACATTTAGTCCAGAACTTTCCAACCAGTGTGTTAGACATTGGAGTTATAAGCATTCCGAAGATACTGATCCTCTTAGCCCTAGAGGGTAGACTGGCCTATTTATCCCAGAGTTCCAGATATATATTATTGTGTTCTATGTGTGCCATCATGTGGTTCCATCTTTCAAACACTCTTTCAAGGAATTCCATTGTCTTTGCTGCTTTCATTACCATCAACATCGTGATGGCTCTGAAACATAGGCATGCAGAGTAATTCCATGGGGGAAACTTGAGAATAACCCTTGAGAAGCCTAACCCACTATAGAACACCAGTTTCAGAGAACCTTCCCTCTCCTTTGCCTCCCATCGTGAATAATTGTCAAATCTGTCTGATCCTTATCCTTCTACCTACCACGACTCAGATCCCATTACCCCTTGCCTGAATTATTCTAGAATTCTCCTGACTGACCTCCCTGTGGCTTTCTGATTCTCAAATCCACCTTCCACACAACTGCCAGAAAAGTCTACCTGAGATGCAAATCTAACCACACCACTCCCTTGCATAAGAGTCTCACATGGTTCATTGATGACGGGTTGAAGTCCAAGCTCTTTTCTAGAGCAGGAACATCATGATTGACCCCTGCTCATTTTTCCAGGTTCACTTCCTGCTACTCCTCCTTCTGTTTTTGTGTTTGGGTCTTTGCTTGTGCTGTCGTCTACACCTGGAACGTTCCTGCTCAGGTTGCCATAACCACACTCTCCACCTCTCCCTTTAAACCTCAGCTCAGACGTCACCGACCCTACCTTCCCTGACTCCCCTCACCTCACAAGGAGGCAGTACATTCTGGGTTTCTCTGACTACCCTGGGCATAGATCTGTTATTGCACTTAGCACATTTACATTATAATTATTTTAAAGTATTTCTCTCTCCATTAGCTATCATGTTCTTTTGCATCTAGACAATCTAGATGGCATGTTCTTTTGTATCCCCAGTTCTGACACAAAGAAAATAATAAATAATTGAAAAATAAATGTAGCCTTAGGCTTTTCCAAAAAATAATGTCACACACAATTCCAGAAGCAACACTTAGATTCCTTTGAAACAAACATAAAGTCAGTAAACTTTAAATTCGAGACTGATTTAATAGAAGGACCTCAAACCTCTTTAATTAAAAGATTTATAGACCAAAACCTGTCAAATTTAGGTCTAGAGGACCATTCGAATAAGTCTGTTTTGCTGAAATTAGGTTGCATGTGGCACAACTTGAATGAAATAATACATTGTCTTGGAACCTAGATTTTTTTTTCCTTCTTCATTGTATAGGTGTTTTGTATAAAAGTCAATAGTATTCAAAGCATTTTCACATGCATATCTTGGTTTTTTTCCCCCTTATAAATCTCTGAAGGCACCTAAGAAAAGATTATTATGCCCATTTTACACATGAAGAAAATGGAACTGAGAGATTGTGATTGTCCCAAATGCCTGACTAATGTGTGGCTGCGAACACACTGACCATCCAGCAACCTCTTATGCAATGCACTATCCTGCCTCTGGCTATACCTTTACTTTCCTCCTTCTGTCCTTTTATTCTTTTTGCAGCACAATTTGACTCATAAACCGAATGTATCCTAGACTATCTACAAACTCACCCAGATCAGAGAATATTTCTGGCTGTATGCCTCATACATAAATATGTTATTATATTCTGCCATGCACATTGATGCTGAATTCTGAACCAGCTGGATTTGCTAGTAAACCAGCAAAACCTCTATCAAAATGGATTTAAAATTAATTATATGGAAGACTTCTAACCTACTACTGAACAACAATTTCAGAGTTATGGAATATCTGTAAATTCTTCTCGTTAAACCACTAATTCTGTGTTTAAATGCTTAAATTAATGTTTAAACACTAATTCTGTGTTTAAGCACACTAATTCTGTGCTTAAACGCTTTCTAGAATAGTCTGAACAAAAGATCCTTCTATCATTGCTTTACCATCTTCAGTGACAAGGAGCTCACTATCCCTAGAAACAATGTTGCCAATTTTAGAACCCGGGTGAGATGTTTTTCTCTGTGGTCTGTTACATCCCTGCAATTTTCTCCTAGTGAAAACACCGCATTTTTCTGGTTGTTAGTGTTACAAACTGACATAAGTCTGGATTCCAGCGATATTGCTTATTAGCAGCTATGAGACCTTGGCAAATAACTTGGTCCCAATCTGTTTTCTCATCTGTAAAGTGGATCAAATGAAATCATGCATATAAATTGGCAAACACTACAATAACTTCAGTAAGTACAGATAGTATAAGTGTTCAGCAAACATTTGTTAAATGTATCAGTAACTCTTCCATTATCCTTGGCCTTGCTTCAAAGCAGCAACCCCTCATGTTGAATTACTGCATTTTCAAAAACAAAGCACACTTATTTAGTGCAGTCAACAAATAACAAATGACCTTCTTCTTAGAAACATGGTCTTCTTAAAATTGTACCATTGACCTGCTCCCTCCCATCAGGTACAAATATGATGGGGCAGAAGTACTGACCCTCTGTAACCCGAATCTTGCACATCTAACTTTGACCTCATGTAGTCAGAAGCATTATTTCAAGTTGCTTTCAATCCCTTATCTTGTGAACCTTGCTGGAGTAAATCTTGACAAGTCAGAGTACAAAATAGAGTTGTTGTTGAGAAGATGGAATAGCGTTTCTTTCACTGAAGCAGTGCTTGGGAGATAGAGCTGTATTGAAGCCCCTTTGTGAAAGCCACTTCAGTTCAAGAGTTCTATCATTCTAATGAGAAAATAGCATTACAATGACCAGCCTTTGAACACATCCCTTGGGAGGTTAACCTGGTGACTTCATTCACATCTGTTGTGACTATTCCATTTGCTTAAGTCCCAGGAGACTACAGCAAACGAGTGTATCAAGGCGTGAGAGTGAAGCACACAGTCAAAGATCTCCTGGCAGAAAAGCGATCCAGGCAGACAAGTAACTCAAGATTTAATGTAAGTCTCAATTTAAGACATTCTGAAGTCTTTGGGGGTTCAAGTCCTCTGTTAAGGTTAGTTATCCCTCCTCCCCGTTTATCCACACACCAATCTCCCACCTCCTGGGTCTGGTATCCACAGGAGCAAAATCTTCCTTTAATGGGCACATGCTATAGAATTACTTGGACTTTTCATTTTTCCCCATGATGGACAAGCATCCTCTCACTTAGTGCCAGCTTTAACTTACACTCCCCCTACTGTCCTCCTCACCCTAGTCTATTTTGCACTGGTTTTCATGTCCTTTTTGAACAAGTTTTTATGTCTTTATTCATCTTCTATTAATTATATGTTCTTGGAAGTACTTTGCAAACTCATTTTTTTTAATTGATTTTTTTTAAAAGATGTGGGGTACAATTCAGGATTAGGCATACAACTGGTTATCATACAGGTAAAGTCTGAGCCTTTCTTTGGTCCCCACTTTGCCTGGTTTGGGATCAGGTATCCTTACTGATGCTGTGCCCTCCCCTTCCCCCTGGCAGTATCCTGTTACTGCCAATCCCTTTCTTAAAACATTATGGTAAATGTTTAGAGTCTGTTTATGAGTGAGAACTTATGGTATTCAATTCTTTGTTTCTGTGATAGATCACTGAGTATAATAGACTCTCAATCCATCCAAATTGCTGCAAAGTCCATATGTTTGTCCTTCTTTATGACTGCATAATATCCCATCATATGTATGTACCACATTTTTAAAATCCAGTCCAGTTTTGATGGGCAACACAGTTGGTTCCATGTTTTTGTTAGCGTAAATAGTGTTTCAATAGACATACATGTACAGGTATTGTTTTTGTAGAATGACTAGAGTTCCTCCTTCGTAGATTCCTATAATTGGATGCCACATAAGTCACAGACAGTAAATGCTGACTCTCCTCCTGACTGGGGGAGGCTGGTGGACTGGTGTGACAAGAGCAAAGAGGGAGCCCTGGCCCTTCCAGGAACCAGCCAAGCGACCCTGGGAAAGTCACTTGACTTCTCTGGGCCCAACCTGAAATGAGTCCATCAAAATGAACCTTTCCAGCCATATAAATATCTGACTATTATGAACATTATGTGACATCTATTCCCTGCCAGCAAGGCTGGTAGGTCTGTGATCTTACTGGCTGACTATTGTAGTTCGTGGCAATGAAAAGATGATGTATCCTGACTTTTCCATATCCCCCAGCCATGAATTAACAAGGGTTTCATGGGTAGTAGTAATGCCAGCCTTCACTCACATGTTATTCTAAACCCAACAAAGATAACTCGGAAAAAAATCCTCTCTGTAGCATGCAAAATCAGATTTTAAAATCCTAGTAGGAGACATCTTGATTCTAAAACCTTTATTTGTCATTCGTGTCTTCATAAATAGCTCTACTCTGTGCCTAAAATGTTAAGGTAGTTGCACCCAGATTTCCAAAATGATTCCACAATGCCAGTAGCACTTGGCTATCAAAATCAGTATGTAACTACCTATTTTGCTAGGTAACACAAATGTCAGGCATCTGCTAGGTGCAGGGCATGAGAGCAGATGACCAGGAATAAATAAGGCAACCACATACAGTACCTAGGACAGGGACTGACACCCAGCAGGTGCTGGTTCTTCCAGTGTATCTGATGAGAATGTTGGTGCCATGTTCAAGATAGACCCAAAATCAGACTCCTGGGACATGTTTCAAGTGAACCAACTCCAGAGTCCATTTCCTGCCATCCAATAACACTTTTTATTGTATATTTTTGTGATCCTTTCTTTTAAATCACCTTCTCTTGGTTCAACAAGTAGAGCTTAGCTTATACAAAGAAAGCTGTATAATTGTTTCCTTATCTGACCCTAGTTCAGTGTTTCTCACATCGCCTGCTCAGAATCATCCTGGCAGTGTATTAAACGTATCAGTACAAACCTAGTCTTTCCAGAGAGCAAGAAAGCACATTCAGAGTCTACTTGAAATGAACTGCAGCTTCAAGTGGACATAATGTGGATTGCTTGGCCACAATAACTGCAACTACAGTTGAGAGAGCAACTGAATGGTGAAACTTGTTGAAGGTTCCAGACAAACTGTCATTGGGAAGACAAGAGTCACACATAAAGGTGATGCCTGTGGTCAAGGAGCAGACATTGTACTTTCTCAGTGTAAATGAGGATATTCCTCACACCTTGGATCTTCACCAATACCTATATATACATGGTAAGGCACTATACCAGAGCTATTCAAAAACACGAGAAGGTATCTATCCAAATGATGGTCATATTTTTTCTTTAAAATGTACCTAGCCGGGCTCGGTGGCTCAGCCTGTAATCCCGTGCCTTTGGGAGGCTGAGGTGAGTGAATTGCCTGAGCCCGCGGGTTCGAGACCCGCCTGGGCAGCGAGACCTCATCTCTACAATAAATCAAAAAATCAGCTGGGCGTGGTAGCGCATGCCTGTAATTCCGGCTATTTGGAAGGCTGAGGCGAAAGGATCGTCGGAGCCCAGCAGGTCGAGGCTGCGGTGGCCGGGAGCAGCCACGGCACTCCAGTCTGGGTGACAGAGTGAGACTCCAACTCAAAAAAAAAAAATGTACCTAATACGACTTCTTGCTCAAGATCTGTGACTGTCAAGACACAGATTCTGTGTTTTCTGAATTTTTTGATGTCTTCCCTTTTAAAAGATAAAACAATATAAATATAATTCATGATAAACCATATTATTTGATGACACATTAAAATGCAGATCCCCAAACCTGCTCCATGTCTCTTAACATAGAGTTATTGGGTTGGAGCCAGGGAGTGGTCCATTTGTCATTTTTTACAAGCTCCTTGGGTGATTTGCGACTCAGCGTTTAAGAACTTTGCCACAGACCAAAGAACAAGTATCCAAGCCTCACACACCACTGCCAAGGTTCTTTTCTCTCCCCAGAAAATAACTTGCTGAGCTATTGCTATTGGCCCAATGACACCGTGTTATAGAGAAAGTGGGTATAAGAAATATGCAATACACAATGTATGCCAAATAACCTGGTAGAAAGGAAAAATACCCATTTTAAAAATACAAGGCCATATAACCAAGCATGAGACTGAATACTAAAGACAAAAGACCAGGCGGCATAGCGATGTAATAGGAAGACTGTAGCAATATTTATGTAAGTTTAAAGTGCACTTTCTCATGTATTATTTCATTTGATAAGCACACTAATCCTGGAAGATTTATATTATAAGGTTTCCCACTTTACAGATGAATAAATTGAGAACAAGAGAAAGGAAGTGATTGTTATGAGCTACAAAGTTAGCAAGCAGCAGGTCTTCTGACTCCCCATTCCAAATTCTATATTGAAAGGGAAAGGTCAATGTGAACTAGAGAGAAATGACCCCAATGCATGCAATCAAAGGAAGTTTAGGAGAAGAAAATCTATCCTGTAGAAAGAACTTCTAGGACAAGAAAAGGACAAACCAACTCTAATCATGGTAGCTATTCACAGGCATCAAGTGCATAGTTGGTAAGAACTCCCTTTAAAGTTTGTGTTCCTATCACATTACCCAATAACTCAATGCTAGTATCTTACTCTCATCCTCACTTCAATTACTTTTTTAACTCAGATAATTAAATGCATAAAATCCCAAAATGTGGTTATTTGGACTTGAGGCATTTCCATGAATTGATTTTACAGTCCATCAACTCATGTTTCATCCTCTCAACCACTGTTCCAGAATATCTATAAATCTCAAGAAGGAGAATGCATTCATTAATCATCCACTCTTAGGATTTCTGTCCCTGTTGCAAATGGAACCCAAAGAGTAGGAAGCATGGAGCTTCATGTTACTGGAGACACTTGTGAATCTCTAATCATATGACTAATACCAAGGCTACCTCCTCCTTTTCATGCAATGGAGTCAATGAGTCTAATATCCCAGGTAAGTTCAGATAGGGAAGTCATCCATTAAACGTGTTCAAAATTTGTGGCCGACAGGAAAAGTAATGACCAGTCAGAGACTCTACCATGCAGTTTACCGTACACATATTGGGCTAGGCTAAAAATGGAACCCCAAAGATCCCGCGTCAAATCTCTGGAACCTGTGAGTGTTGCCCTACATGGCAAAAGATGTGGTTAAGTTAAAGATCTTGAGAGGAGGTCCTTACCCTGCATTACTTGGCTGGTTGCTCATTGCGATCATGTGTATCCTTGTAAGAGAATGTTTTGAGAGAGCAACACACACACAGAGGAGAAGACACACAAAAGAGGAGGTGGTAATGTGGTCACTTTACAGAGGTTGGAGTGATGAGGTCACAAGTCAAGCAGCCACCAAAAGCTGGAAGAGGCAGAGAAAAATTTCTCCCCAAGTCTCACGAGAGCATAATCCTGCCAACACCTTGATTTGGGACTTCAGGTCTCCAGAACTAGAAGAAAATAAATATTGATGGTTTTAAACCACCCAATTTTGTGATCATTTGTTAGCAGTCCTAGAAAATTAATACACATATATTATGGAAATGAGGTCCCCCTGGATAAGTATGCTTCAGGAAGTATTCGTTGGATGCCCAAATAGCTGTTCTTTTATTTGTGACAACACTCTGAAAAGTTCACAGAAGACTATGTTGATCTATCTGCACTACAGTTTCCCTCACGAACATCTGTTTTTGATCCATGAAATGTTTTGCACATCTTTGCAGTAGGAATAAGAAAGAAAAAAAAAACCCTGGCATCAAAAGAGACTTTCACCAGAGACTAGAAATTAAAACCACTTCCATATATTGTGGCCATCACTCTGTGGTTTCACAACTATTATTATGCATATCAATTTTCAAATAATGGCTTTTTTCTTTCTCAAATGTTTTCTGTGTTGTCCTTTGCCACACTGCTAGATTGTCTACCACAATATATCAATGTGAGCCATTCACCAACATCTAGTACAAAAATACATATAATTAGACTTCTGATTGCTGCATTTTTTTCCAATTATACCATTTCAATTGAGTTCCATCAAAGCTAATCACTGAATTTTTTAAA